AAAAAAATTTGTTAACATTTGTTGTAACAATGCTATTTGCCAGTGTCAGTGACCTGATTCCCGATTGAATTCACTTGATTAACGTTAATGTCAATATACAAAAAAAAGCATCAAACTTATTAGTGTTTTATCAGATTGTTTTCAAGTTTGGTTTACTGAGTAATTGTATTTCTTCGCTTTTGATTGTTCAAATAGAAGAAAAACAACAACAACAAAAAAAAAAAGAAAAGAAAAGAAACAAAGGAAATCCTAAAGAAAGTCTTTAAATGGCAAAATCGATATCGATACAGAATCTGTGCTACTTTGTGGATAAATTCTAACTTTCGCCATTGACAAAATTTCTCTACTAGATACAGACTGTATTTGTGTCAAATCTGCAGTATTTAGTATTTTGGTAGTTTTGCACTGTAAAATAAGTATTATAAAATACAACAGAGAGCAAACAAAATTGATTCATATAATTCATTGTTTGTTTCAACAGTTCTCTAAAGTGAAATTAAGAAGTTTAAGGTGTTTGTTGTAATAAATATGCCTAAGATAAAGAAAAGCAAGTTTTCGAGTAGTTGTAGCAATCCTTTATAGAAAACTTTAACACATTGATTATGATTGTTTGATGGTATAGATGCTATTGTTTTCTCATGGAAATTGATTATTTGTTTTTATTTTCAATTTAACTTTGAATTATTGCATGATAGTAAAATATTGTCATTGTACCTATAAATACTTTAATATGTTTACTTTATTTGATCTGAGAACAGCTATGCTCTTTAAATCGCATTTTACTTGCGTGTCAATCCATGCATATGGATTTATTTGTCAAAAGTAATAGTATGCGCCAGGTGTAGGCTGCATTTTTGTTGCTCTGCAAACTTGATTGTTTTGTGAAAGTTATACTTGACTGAAAATTTTCAAAGTTTGATATATTACGTAGTTTTATTTTGTAATCACAGTGATATAAATTGCTTGTGAATTACTCTTGTGGTTTTAAAGATATTTGAAATTTAAAACTTTGATGATTCTATACATTTAATATTTTATTTTTAAAGCATACAACAATAATGTGTTTTAGTGAGCGAAACTCGACGAGGATTATATATACACGGTCAGACCTGTATAATATCGGGCAATTACCAAGTTCGCAAAAAGGACTTAATCCTATTATTATCAACACTTTGAAAGGACTTAAGTTAATGCAATACAGAGGGAACAGAGGTGGGCAATATGGGATTAGACGAGCCTGGGATACTAACAATGGTGTGAATGTTGACAATTTACAGTTACTTCCCCAAGAAATAACAAAAGTTAATCAGAGAAGACGTATAGAAAAATCACTCAGCATGTGCAATGTGAAAAACTTAATCCGGGTAAATCGTGAACACAATACAACAGTAAAAGGCCAAACAAACATAAAAATATGTTTAATGAACACACGCTCAGTGAAAAACAAAACCCTATCCATATGTGACTTTATTCTCTCCAATGAGTTTGATATATGTGCCATAACTGAAACATGGCTAGGTAGTTCCGTTGATAAGGTGTGTATCAGTGAACTTGTACCTCCTGGCTACAAAATAAAACATGTCCCGCGTGTTGGTAGGCGAGGTGGTGGTGTAGCTATCATCCATAAAGCTTCTATACAAGTCACCACTGAGTCGTCAAGTCAAAGCAAGGAATTCTCACAATTTGAGTTCATGGACTGTAATGTAGTAATTGGGCGGTACTCTATGAGGCTAGCGGTAATATACAGACCACCTCCTTCTAAACAGAACGGCTTGAATACAAACACTTTCCTTGATCATGAGTGGCCCCTTTTCTTAACTAAGTACGCTACAGTTGACAATTCTGCAATCATAGTAGGCGATCTGAACCTTCATCTAGATAAACCAGACAACAATGATACGAGAAAATTTACAAGTAACCTTGATGCATGTGGTATGCATCAGCATGTACAAGAACCAACCCATGTTGCAGGTCATACATTGGACGTAGTGATATCAAGGGAAACAGACAACATTGTATCAAACATAGAGGTCGTAGATCCTGGACTCTCTGATTCTAGTGGAAATATCTTATGTGACCATTTTGCTGTTACATTTGATGTCAAAGCCTCAAAACCTGCACCGGTACGGAAATTGGTTTCTTACAGAAAACTTCGCGCAATTGACATTGATTCTTTTCGAGATGACATACGGAAAATGGAATTCTTCAACAAAGAGTGTATCCCTTCTGACATAGATGGTTTTATGATGGAATATTCAGACAGTCTAACCTCTATTTTGGATAAACATGCTCCGATGATTAACAAGACTATTACATTGAGACCTGCTTGTCCGTGGTATACAGAGCAACTCCACGAAGCCAAACATGAAAAACGTAAACTAGAACGGAAATGGCGTGAAACTAAACTTACAATAGACCATCAGATCTACAGAACACACTGTTCTAGTGTTAACAAGCTGTTAAAACAAGCTCGTGTAGAATACTATACAAGTAAAGTAGAGTCTTGTGGCAATGATCATAAAAGTCTATCTAAGATTACCAAAGGTCTACTTGGAGATACAAATGAAGTGATTCTACCATTTGATTCATCTTCAGAGCGCCTTGTCCAGAAATTCAGTGACTTCTTTATCGGAAAGATTGAAAGAATAAGGAATAACATACGTTCTCAAACACAATCGGTACCGGATAATGTAGATATGGAATCTGAATATACGGGTGTCAAATATACTGTGTTTGCTCCAACCACAGAGCAAGAAGTGAAAGCATTGATTAAAAAATCAGCCACCAAATCCTGTGAGTTAGATCCCATTCCAACATGGCTGTTAAAAGAATGCCTAGATGAACTAACACCAGTGATAACCAGTTTTATAAACGTGTCCTTGGATGCTGCTTATGTACCAAAAATGTTCAAACACTCACGTATAAGACCACTTCTAAAGAAACCAAATCTAGATCCTAACGAACTGAAAAACTATAGGCCTGTGTCTAACGTGCCATTCCTGTCTAAAATCTTGGAAAAGGTCGTTGACGTACGACTTGAGAGCCATCTGAAGACAAATAATCTACACGAGGTCAACCAATCTGCTTATCGCAAGTTCCATTCGCCCGAGACTGCATTGTTAAAAGTTCAAAATGACATTCTACGGTCTTTGGATAGTAACAATGTGACTATTCTCGTGATGCTTGATTCGTCTGCTGCTTTTGATACAATTGATCACGGAACGCTCCTTCGCCGCCTTGAACGACACTTTGGAATTACAGGCAAGCCACTCGCATGGATGACGTCATACCTGACCGACCGATACCAGACTGTATGCATAAACAACAAACTATCACAGCCAGTCCACATGGAGTACAGTGTACCTCAAGGGTCTGTGCTGGGACCCAAGAGCTATGTGATGTTTACGAAACCTGTCGGAGAAATCTGCCGTAAACATGATCTAAACAACCATTTCTTCGCAGATGACTCACAACTATATGTATCCTTCAAACCAGTGACTAATATTTCAATTCAAGAGAATATAAACCGTATTGAAAGATGTCTTGAAGATATTGTAAGTTGGATGAATGCCAACATGCTGAAGCTAAACGGCGATAAAACAGAGTTGATCATCTTCTCATCTGAACATAATGCACAACCTGTTTCAGATGTTACAGTAACAGTCGACGGTTCGAAAATTAGCCAATCATCTAGTGTGCGCAATCTTGGTGCATTTCTTGACTCGAACATGAGGATGGAACAACATGTAAATAATGTCTGTAGGAACTGTTATGCACAATTAAGACAAATCGGTCACATCAGACCCTATCTTACTGTTAAAGCAACCAAATCTCTAGTAAATTCACTTGTTACTTCTAGGTTAGACTACTGTAATGCACTGTTATATGGAGTCTCTAAGCAGTCAATGACCAAGTTACAACATGTTCAAAATACAGCAGCTAGAATTGTGACCAAAAACACTCAAATATGACCACATAACACCTATCTTACGTGAACTTCACTGGCTTCCGGTAGAGTATCGGGTCGAACATAAAATTTTGACTTATACATATAAATCCCTCATCGATCAATCACCAGCCTATATAAAAGACATGATAGACGTGTACATCCCAGTCAGAAATCTGAGGTCCCAGAATAACTCAATGACATTAGTTGTGCCTAAATCTCGGACAGTACGATATGGTGACAGGTGCTTCCAGACAGCCGCAGCGAAATTATGGAACGCGTTACCACCTGACGTTAGAGACTGTAATACCTTGCCATGTTTTAAGAGAGCTCTCAAAACACATTATTTCATAAAGTTCTATGGACGTTAGTTCATAAATCATCATACATGTACTACTTTTGCTATATTATCAGTGTTAATTTTAATTGTGCCTTGATTTTAAACTAAATGTGTCTGTATTTCTTACCATCCTTTACTGGTTTAAGATTATCATTATTGTTTAATAGGTTTACTTAATTAATGTTGTACATTATGTCTTATATATATATAATTATGTTTTATCGGATTTATGTAAAGCACTCTTGAACATTTATTATTTATGAAAAGAGTGCTATAGAAATGTGGTATATAAAAATAATAATTTATTTAAGGAAACTCAATGATTGATATGACAAAGCTCACTTCAATAACAACTGATCAATTTTGAAAGAGGTAATAGAAATGGAGACTCGATTCCTTGGCAAGTATGTTACGATAGATAACGGCCAAACGTTAGAATCCGATTAGGGTTTAGAAATCTTTAAATAGTCTAAGAATAAAAGAGTATTAAGGATAGAATTACCAGCGATACATTTTCATTTACCACTTATTTCGATAAAATGTTCCAAAAATGATCAATGATCATATATTATTAGAAATGTTTTACAAATCTTTATTTCTTGGAGCAACAAGAACAAAATCTTGAGAACTATTAAATCGATCGTTCAAGCTTTTTTTATAATTTGTCTATTTACATGTCAAAGGAACAGCAATATGTACAATCCATTAATTACCCTTCAAATTATGGCATTATGCTCATATTTTCATAGTCAAGTTGAGCTGAATTGACTTTATATTTCAAAGATTGACTGTCAAAATGGTGTTTGACCAACAGTTGATATTGGAAAATGTTTAGGATAAAATTATAAATCTGCTTAAAATTTAAAAAGACAGCCCCACTCTTTTTTATAAACTAAGCGTTATACGTAAATTATAACGGATATTTACAGAAATTTCATTTTGATTTGTGTGTTATCTATTGTTTATGTGAACTTAATTATTAAATTTAAAGGGATTATGGCAAAATGGAAACATATTTTGATCTTCATCCGTTCACTCACTATGTACCCCTGGATGGGCATAATGTCACTTTAAACGGTAGCAAAAATCATCTTATACCTTATTCAAATTTAAAGTATCCAAAATGTAAATATTAAAACACATTTTTTTTAACAGAGCCAATGTTTCAGCATGTAAAACCTTAAACAAATTGAGTACATGTCTGTTTGTTTGCATGGAAGTGTGCGTTAGAATAAAGACATAATTGTAATCAATATATGTGAAATTGGCCTTGTATTTATCTTGATATTTTACTCTATCAATCATTTTAGATGATTTGTTAAGTAAAGGTTTTGTATGGACCTAACCTTTCTTGACGTAACTGATAATAACATGTTATCATTTCACGTAACACATCAACAATACTGTGAATCTGTAAAAGTTCGGAAAACACTGTGTCAGTGGTCAATATTTAATGATTTAGAAAGTACTGCTTTTACCCCCGTAGTTGGTTGGTATTCAAGTACATAGATATAAATATATTGAAGACAGTAGATTTAATGTTTTATGAATGATGTCGTAACATGAGTTCTTAAATAGGAAACATGTTTCCAATCATCGAAGCATTAAAAAGCCGATGGGAGTCATAAAGTTTATTATCTGATTAGTTGTAACTTTAATTATAAAATATGAAAACAGCACAAAAATAAAAGCAGACCACTAACGATTTTATCAGTGAACATTACAGATACATTCTGAAGGATATTTAGACATTTTCATGAATCGCAATGTAATAAGTTATTTTGCGGAGTAGAGTAAAAACAATTATGTCAAAAAGGTGTCTGACTGTTGGTTGTACACTCAACCGTTGCATTTATGTGTGCATCATATCACTTAAACTGAATACATTTAATAGTTGTAAATATATTTCCCGCATGCAAAACTTAAACAAGGAATATTATTTACTGCAAAGTTCTAAGTCTTCGGTAAAAACATGATAGAGTTCATAAGCCTTTGACTAAAGCCTACAATCAGTTTGGTAAAAAATAAACAAGAGGGCAATGATGGCCCTGAAGTGGCTCACCTGTATATAGGCCCCTTTTATTTGAACAAACTTGGTAGACACCCATTAGAAGATGTTTCATGCTAAACATCTAAGGTCTAGCTGGTCAAGTTATTTCTTTACACATTTAGTTAAAAACAGTGACACACCTGGGGCGGGGCCAATTTTGACACCAGGGCTTTTATTTGAACAATCTTTGTAGACACTTACTAGAAAATGTTTCGTGCTTAATATCTAAACTCTAGCTATTCGGGTTTTTTTCAAAGAATGTTTAAGTTTTTGCAAATACACATATAAGGAAAATGAATTT